GCATGGTATTGGCATAAAAACAGAAAGGAGGATCAAAGGAACCGCATAGAAGACCCAGAAATAAACCCATGTACCTATGAATACTCGATTTTTGACAAAGCAGCCAAAACCATTCAATGGAAAAAAGACAGCATCTTCACAAATGGTGCTGGTCCAACTGGATGTCCACATGCAGAAAAATGAAAATAGATCTATATTTATCACCCTGCACAAAACTAAAGTCCAAGTGGATCAAAGACCTCAACATAAAACCAGATACTCTCAATCTGTTAGAAGAAAAAGTGGGGAACAGCCTAGAACTCATTGGCACAGGAGACAATTTCCTGAACAGAACACCAACAACAGCACAGGCTCTAAGAGCAACAATCAATAAATGGGACCTCATGAAACTGAAAAGATTCTGTAAAGCAAAGGACACCATCATCAAAACAAAACGACTGCCTACAGATTGGGAAAGAATCTTCACTAACCCTTTATCTGACAGAGGACTAATATCGAGTATATACAAAGAACTAAAGAAGCTGAAAAGCAGCAAACCAAGTAATCCAATTAAAAAATGGGGAACAGAGCTAAACAGAGAATTCTCGACAGAGGAATATCGAATGGCAGAGAAACACTTAAAGAAATGCTCATCCTCATTAGCCATCAGAAAAATGCAAATCAAAACGACCCTGAGATATCACCTTGCACCCAGCAGAATGGCCAAGATGAAAAACTCAAGGGACAACACATGCTGGAGAGGTTGTGGAGAAAGGGGAACCCTCCTCCACTGCTGGTGGAAATGTAAACTGGTACAACCACTCTGGAAATCTATCTGGCGCTTTCTAAGACAATTAGGAATAGTGCTTCCTCAAGACCCAGCTATACCACTGCTAGGTATATACCCAAACTTTGCTCAAGTACACCATGTTTATAGCAGATTTATTTGTAATAGCCAGAACCTGGAAACAACCCAGATGTCCATCAACAGAGGAATGGGTACAGAAATTGTGGTATTTTTACACAATGGAATACTACTCAGCAATCAAAAAAGAGGAAATCATGAAATTTGCAGGCAAATGGTGGGATCTAGAAAAGATCATCCTGAGTGAAATATCCCAGAAGGAGAAAGACAAGCACAGTATATACTCACTTATATAGACCTATAAGATGTTATTAACATAATGAAATCTGTACACCTAAAAAAGATAATCAAGAGAGCAGACATGGGGTAAGATGATCAATCCTCGTTTAGAAAGACAGATGGGATGCGCATTGAACGTATGACAGGAGTCTACTGAGTGCATTTGAAAGACTCTAACTAGCAGTGTTTTCAAAGCAAAGACTCATGACCAAACCTTTGGCAGAGTACAGGGAATCATAAGAAAGAAGGGGAGTTAGTCTGATGAGGAAAGGATAGGAGTTCCACAAGGACCAAATATATCTGGGCACAGGGTCTTTTCTGAGACTGACATGCAACCAAGGACCATATATGAATGTAACCTAGAACCTCTGCTCAGATGTAGCCTGTGGTAGCTCAGTAACCAATTGGTTTCCCATAGTGAGGGGAACAAGGACTATTTCTAACAGGAACTCAATGAGTGGCTCTTTGGCCTCCCCACCCCCAAAGGGAGGAGCAGTCCTGTTAGGCCACAGAGGAGAGCTTTGCAGCCAGTCCTGAAGATACCTGATAAAACAGGATCAGATGAATGGGGAGGAGGTCCCCCCTATTAGTGGACTTGGCAAGGGGCACGGTGGAGATGAGGGAGGGAGGGACTGGGAGGGAATGAGGGAACGGGACACGGCTGGGATACAGAGTTAATAAAATGTAACTGATAAAAAAAAATAAAATTCAAAAAAAAAAAAAAGGAAAACAAAAATTCAGCAAATTCAATTCAACATTAGAGATGGAATATATAATAGCCAGCGGGACAAGAAAACATCATCTAGAAGAGAAGTAAAATTGTCTTTATGTATACATTATGTTATCGTCAACACAGAAAACCTGATGTAATACATCAGAAATTACTGTCATACTAAATATATATAATATATATAATACACTAATATTTTACATGTATTTTTACAGACTTACTAGCAACAATCAGAAATAAAATTGCAAAGCATTTGTAATATCATTAAAATAGAACAATTACAAACAAATTGTATGTAGTATCTGCATACTGCAGACTATCAGACACTTCCGAGTTGAATGAGGGAATGGTTCATATTACACAATAAAAGTTTACTACTTTACTATAATATAAATGAGTACTCATACATGGCTTAGTATCACAATAATTATTCTGAGTAAAAAAAAGCTAAGGGATTAATAGCACATACCATAATATTCCATTCATGAACAGTTTTAAAACTTCAAACAAATCTATAGCAACAGAAAGAACTGAAGAGAGGTTGTGTGACAAAGACAAAGATGGCAAAATGGACAATGACCGTGAAAAATCAGCCTAGTATCTCAATTGTAATCACAGTTTTACAATATATACTTGCCCACATTTACCATATTCTTAGAACTTACATAAATACAGTTTACTGAATACAAATTGTAAGTCACTGAAGTTGTTACAGTGAAAAAATAACTGAAACAATGCAATGTTCATTCTGTGTACAAAAAAAGTGATTACTGGCTAGAGAAAGAGGTGAGGAGATTAGTGCAAAATGAAGACTCAAGTTTTCAGAATTTGGGAAAGAAGATAAGAGTCTAAAAAAAAATCACCAAGGCAGATGAGCAGTGGCAGTGTACATCTTTAATCTTTACTCAGGAGGTAGAGACAGGCAGCTCTCTGAGTTCAGAGCCACCTTGGAGTGAGGTCCAAGACAGCAAAAGTTACAAAGAGAAACCCTATTTCAGGAAAAAAAATTAACCAAGGTAAAAAAAAAAAAAAAAAAAAAAAAACCAGTTGGAATAAAAGCAGACACACAAGCAATAAAGTGATGCCATTGGGAAGGTAGGTATACAGAATAAAGAGCCCAGGAAACTGAAGCATAGCATGGTGACTGGAGGAAGCTAGAGAAGGTCCTCAATGAACCATCATGTGTGAGGGTGCTACTAGGAAGGTCTGGCAGACACAGTTCCTCCCAAAGCCAAAATGCTCAGCTGAGTCCTTGACTGGCATGCTAAGGTCTAAGAGTATACATGCATAGAAACTGACTGGCCACAAATGGAATACAGAAAAGAAGCTGTGAAGGGTATAAGTCTTTTTCACTTCTACAGTGAAGCCAGGAAAATAAGAAAATGTTATTATTAGTAAAGCACGAAGTTACAGGATGTGGAGGCCATGTTTATATCCGCACTACCAGCAACTTATTTAGGAGGCATTGGAAGCAAGTAGAGTTGGTCACAGTATAACATGTATCTATGAGAACCATGTGATCAATAAATGGTCAAACAGATTCAACAGTGGTGGACAGTTTTAAAGGAAAGCTAAAAATGAACTTACTGTTTCTAAACACAATTGAATTGTGTTGTAAAAAGAGACAAACCATTTACACCAATGCTAGGCCATGTACCCTGAACCAGCTACTAGTGAAATAGACATCCCCAGGATTTTTGCACTTGTTAAGAGACAGGACAAACAAATATGATACTGTAGAAGCTTCCCTGTACATAATTCATTTTTTTTAAAGTTTAAATGGAGTTACCCTATGAGAAAGGGGCAATACTCCAACTAAACAGCACATGATAGTAAATAAAAACCACAGAACCAAGAATGGATTAGCTCTTTTGAATTGCTGGCCTCTGCAAACATTACATGCTATTGCCAATGTTTTTAGTTACTCCTCAGAATTGATGGCAAAACTCTATTGCTGAAGACACTGTATATTTGAGCTATGAAACATGGAGAGATCAAACAAGCACTGACCTGGAAGAGTGAGTTCTATCAGCTAGCCTTCATAATGAGGAAGGTGCTATACACAATACCAAAGTTGAAAAGTAATCATCGGTCTCACCCATGAGAGCTACAATAATAATTGGCCCAACAAGTACTTGGGTAGAACAAATTGGACTGTATGTGATTAAAAGAAAACAGAAGTTACATGCTGTTGGGTAGCTGGGAAAGGAAAATGGATGTGAATATGATCAAAACACATTACATAAAATTCTCAAAGAATAAATAAAAATAGTTTTCAAAAAAAGAGATAAGACAACAAAAATATGCAAAGGGATCCATGTATATATACTTTTATATAGACAAGTATACTTGTCTATACTTTCTATTTGTATAAAGACAAGTAAGGTAAATTAGCTGAGAAGAGAAAAAGAAGGCTCAGCAAAAAAAAAAATAGGAACGGCCATGGTTATGCCTATCACAAACAACAGTTCTCAGTCCTTCATATACATCACCGTGAGTAATCCTCCTTGAGGCTGGTAGGTGTCAGGCAAAATCTCACAGGAAAGATTACTTTGCCAGCACCACCTGACCTTGGTAAGGGCCAAACTAAGATGTAGACTTAGGTCTGCTGGATGCCAGCACCTGGGTCTACACTCTTATTGCCTCTCGGTATCAAAATAAAATTTTAAATCCTAATATTACTTATTCAAAGAAATGTGTATAGTTTCTGTTTTCAGCAAACATCAACTGCCCAAATACATTTTATACTGAAAGACACACGTTTCTGAGGAAATCATTAAAGACAGCATTAACTTTCACCTGTGTTCCTATGACAATAAACACCACAGTTAAAAGGCAGGATTTTAAATTAACTGCAATAGAGATTTAAAGTTATACATAGGTAGATGTTCAGCCATCTTCTCACCAAAGCTGATTCCACAGCTCTGCCAGTCCTCCACTCCATGACATTCTGTTCAAAGAGGCTTTCCCACCCAAGCTGACACCTCTCCAACTCATCTGAGCCTTATGTTATGCTTATCAGTACTAGAGAGATATGCCCCCCCACTTACTTAAGTGATTACAATCTTTGTACCTCTATAACTCATGAACACAAAACATTCCGGTTACAAAAATCCTTTCTGCTCAAAATCCAGAAGGTTGATGTTTTTACAGAGGGTACTTAATAGTAAGGCCTCCTGTCCTCAAGCCTAGGCACCAAGAGAAGTGCCAGAAGAATGAATGGCCAATCCAAAAGCTCACATCTTTCCGGGTCTCATTTTCCACTGCATGAATCCTCTGATCCATTTCCTCTTCCAACACACTCAGCTGAATGGCTGCCTTGTCCTGGGCTCTGAAATTCATAAAAACACATTGCACATTTGGACTAAAAAACATGTGAAAAGAAAATTCAAAACTCGTCAATGTCAGGCTTCACATTAAGCAGATGCTCTATATGATATATATCCCAATCCTTCTATATGATAAACTATGATTGTCAATGTGACTATTTGGGTGTAAAATGACATTAAACAACTAAAATAGATTACATATTAGGCTGAAATAAACAGTCACTGAAGACAGAAAATTTCTGGGAGACTGTTTGCAAATCTAAAAATATTATTTCCACATGAATGACAAATCTAGACAAAGGAAAGAATTTTATGTCAATACACAGATAAAAATTTAAAATTCTATTACGTAAGCTTTACACTCATATAGGCTAAAGCTAAAAACAAAAGGAACAATCCCAGCAATGATTTCTAACCAGTCTTCTACAATTCCAGAGATAAAATCAAAATGTTTCTGACTCTACCCAAGATGTTGTGTGGACTGAGTGAGGGAATCAGGGGCTGCCTCTATCATAAACTGAGTTGACTGCTCTCTGATCACTCACCCCTGATGATGCAACCTTGCGAGACCATAGAGGAAGAGGATCCAGGCAGTCCTGATTAGACTTAACAAGCTATGGGCAAATGGCAATAGTGAAGAACTCCCCCTTTCAGTGGACTAGGGGAAGGGAATGAGGGCAAGAGTGAGCGAGGGTGAGACTGGGGATGTTGAGGGAGGGGTCTTCAATTGGGATATATAATGGGTAAACTGTCGAGAAAAAAATAAAAATTAATTTAAAAAAACTAAGACTGAAACTTGGAAAGAATAGGAAATCTGCTGGCAAGGTCTTTACCTGGCTTGGCTTCAGAATCTGTCTACTACTCTAGAAGTTTCCTCGTTTTGTCAAGTGGCTGGATAGAGGACATATTTTGAAATTTTCAGGATGGAATCATCAGTTCTGAAAAGTTAACAGCATAGGATGGCAATGACCTACCAACAGATTGCTGTTTGGCCCTGCAATGACTACCTGACAGAACTTACATTGTGTGGAATACTTGGGAGTGTTCTGGATTCCTAAAGTCCAGAAAACCCACTTGTATCATAACATGACTATATCACTCAATCCCTTTGCCATCCAAGTCACAGAACAAGTTAAAGGACCCTATGTGTCCTTAGGAAGGAGGTAGATTCATACCTCTTCACTGCAATGGCCAAGTTTTCCATTTCTGTGCTCTGAAGTTTGATCTCATGGAGAAAGTTCCTGATCACATGTTCGTACGGCTGGATTAGTCTGGGCTCCACAAGGTTGATATTCTGGTACAGGGTACTAACTTGTTCTTTTCTGCCCAAAATATTAAAATTAAATGGTATCAGTTTAAAGTAAAAAAAAGAAAGAAAGAAAGAAAGTATAAGAAAGAGAAAGATAACAACTACGAAAATAAAGGGGGGGGGGGTGGATTTAAACATCCATAGATTGACCTGAAATGAAGAGAACAAACAAGAGAAAAAGTCTGATGTGTTCTCCATGTTGGAAAATGGCTATCCAGAAAGCCAGTGAAAGTGCAGTGGAGGAGACTTAGAATAAAGCTTGTTCATTTTACTTGTTAAAAATTGAACTGTAGAAGATGGAGTCCTCCATCAGCTGGTGTTTGATCCGGCCTGTGGGAGAAGTCCTCAGGCACGGCGGTGACACCTTGAGCCTTGGCCTCACTGTCTCTGGGGACCAAGGGCAGCATGGGCTACCGATGCTGTGATTGTGGTAATTTTTGGTCTAATCTGGTAGACTGGTTTACGGATAAGAGTATAAAGTCTCATTGCAGAACAAAAATGGGAGATGCTGAAGTAGGCAAGAAGATCTTTATTCAGAAATGTGCTCAGTGCCACACAGTGGAAAAAGGTGGAAAGCACAAGACAGGTCCAAACTTCTGGGGCCTGCCTTTTTGGCCGAAAGACAGGACAAGCACCAAGATTTTCTTACACTGATGCGAACAAGAACAAAGATATTATCTGGTCAGAAGCAACTTTGATGGAATATTTGGAGAACCCAGAGAAATACATTCCTGGCACTAAAATGATCTTTGCTGGTATCAAAAAGAAGACTGAGAGAGAAGATCTTATTCAGTATTTGAAAGAGGCAACATCCTCATGAAATATTATTACAGCCTCAAAAATATTACTTACCAATTTCAAATATTATGTTTAATAAGAAGCATACCCAATTTTTCTCGAACAGCCTGAAGTAATTTTAAACAGTGAAATAAAGGTTGATATTTTTGATGGTGAAAAAAAATTGAATTGTAAAAACTTCAGATAAAGGTAAATAAATTATCATATTCTGTTTCTCCAATCTCTAACAAGATATGTATTAGTCATTGAACTTTGAAGAATGGCTACACCTATTATTTTGTGGTCAGTGAAAAGTGCATCTGGCAAACTCACATTTGTGGATACATCACCCCCCTACACCTTTTTTTTTTTTTCATAATGCTTCAAACACTAAATTTTTGGAGTTTCTCGCACCAATCAACTTTCTATTTTCCAGACACCAATCAGATATTCAAAATTTTTATTAATTAATAACTAGTGAAAATTGGCCCAAGTTCCCAGGCTCTGAACAACACTGCTGCCTCACTTCTGTGCCAGTAACCAGTCCAAGAGAGAGGCCTCTTTCTAATCAGGTGAAAATTAAGAGTCCCCCTGCACCTCCAAGCTTGACAGTTTTTTATAATGACTCACGGAACTCACAAAAACATTTTACTTACTTTTAGTAGCTTATTATAAAGAAAAGCAAAATGGGAAGGATATACAGGGGTGGCATTAGGTGACACAGTTTTCATGTCCTTGTCTATGCCACTTATTCAGCCTACATTGCTATGTTCACCAACCACACCAGAAGTTCCCCAAGCACACTCTTAATAACCATGAGTCAAACTCAACTTTCAGCCTGTTTTTCTTTCCCAAAGACAGGGATTAGGCTCCAAGTTCCAGCCCTCTGATAACACCTTACTTCTTTTTTTTTTTTTTTTTTTTTTTTTTTTGGTTGGTTGTTTCTGGTTTTATTTGTGTGTATGTGTGTGTAGTAGGGTAGCTGTTGTTTTGTTTTGCAATTAGCCTCCATTCTAAAACAACCTATAGCCTAGTGGTGTCATCTATTTCATTACCTGATAAAAGAGATGGTTGAATAGGCTAGTGCTATTCAAGGCCACAGGTATCAGCAGCTAAAGCCTTGAGTGGAACTGGGTGTGATTTTTTTTATTTTTATTTTTTTTTTTTTAGTAATATGCCCTTTATGTCTTTATAGAAACACTTACTGTGCTGGTTAGTTTTACCTCAACTTGACACAAGCTATAGTCATTGGAGAGGAGGAGGAACCTGAATTGAGAAAATGTCTCAGTAAGATTGCTATAAGTGAGCAGGCAGAGTTTTTTCTTAGGGATTGATGTGGGAAGGGCCAGCCTGTTGTGGGTGGAGCCACCCCGGCAGGTGGTCCTGTGTTCTATAAGAAAGGCTGAGCAAGCCATGAGGAATAAGTCTCTTCTGTGGCTTCTGCATCAGCTCCTGCCTCCAGGTTCCAGTCAGGCTTGAGTCCAGTCTTTTGATAATGAACTGTTATATGGAACTATGAGTGAAATAAACCCTTTCCTCCCCTCAAGTTGCCTTGGTTATGATATTTCATCACAGCAATAGTAAGACTAACTAAGACACATATTTTGTATGGATTTAATAATCACTGGACTTTCTACAACCACCATTTCACAGCCATCCATTTTTCTCAACGGATGGGCTCTATACTGATACATTTTGTCATGGTACAGCAGAGACAATGCAATCTAATCTTTCTTCTTACTTTACTAAAGAGTGAGCAGTGTTGTAATTTGACATGAACTGCGGCAGCATGTGATAGTAGCAGTGAGTTTTTAAAAGCAAATAACATTTATACTGGCTAGAAGACACACCAGGGATTTGAAAAATAGATAATTCCTTAGGTCTGAAATAACTTTCATAACACCAGCATAAAAGAGCTAGTGTTTGAATAAGGCTTAAAACTTTCAGGAATAGCTAATACTCACAAAAAAAAAAAAAAAAAAAGCTAAATCCTTTCATACACACTGCATTACTCAAAATCCAGCAGTTATTTCTTAGATTTGGTGATCTGCCACTGTGATTCTGAAGTTACCCCCTCAACAATGCAAAACATCTTCTGCGAAAGATCCTGCCCCTAACAGCACGTCTTACACTGGAAAAGCTACTGGGCAAGTCAAGAAACCGAGAAGCTCACAAGCCTTTCACAGCCATCCACGGCACCTATAGACAAGAATGTAATGACCACAGGTCACTAAAATACACTGAACAAAAAACACACATCATCTTCTCCATCCACTTTGTCTAGAATTTGCAAAGGGCGGTATGTTTTCATGTTTGTTTTAGATGTATTCGTTTATTATTTCATGTGTATGAGTTATTTGTTCCGATATGTTACCCCATGCATGTCTGAAGACCACAAAGGTCACAAAAGAAACTTGGAAAGCTAATGCAGGAGGATCATGAGATCAGTCAGGGCTATTGTAGCTAAACTGTAGTAAAGTTAGTAACCGTCATCATCATCATAGTAGCAATAGTAGTATTGTTTACTATTAGTTAAAAGGAAGAAAAAGAAAGGAAAAGACTGAAGGTTGAGGCAGGGCAAAGGGCAGGAAGGAAGGCAGAAAGGGTGGGTCAGACTACAGATTATCACTGGACAGGGCTGAGAAGAAGGTGTTCGGACCTTGCAGTTCTCACAAGTTCACTTCCTCCCTCTAGCAGCTGCAGACCCATCTGCTCCTAGATCCAAGACAAGTTTGAATTATTACTTTACTTTATCAGTGTCTTGTAGGTTACATGGATTGAAACTTAACCACTTCCCACACTTGCCCTTGAAATCCCCTTTTGTTCTTGAGACCGGAAGGTCTAGCTTTCTTTTCAGGATACCACTGTACTGTAATTCTCCTTCCCTTTCAGACTGAGAAGTAAAGGTTCTGTCCCTTCACAACCCAATCAACTCTATCCCTGATACAGTCTTTCATAATGAAGCTCTTATCTGGACCTGAATGTTTGTCCTCCCCCTAAAGGCTGTGATGCTGTAATTCTTCCAATAAAGCTTATCTAAGGAGTAATTCCTCTCAGCTTCCTTTCTACAAAACCGCCATTATCTGCAATAGCAACAGGCAGGAAAGCAGGAAGGTAAGAAGGCTTGCAGGAAGAATTAGAATGAATTATCTTTGTCTAAAAAAAAAAGACTTTGTTACTGTTCCTGCACAGCCACAGATTGTAGTAACAGGAGTACGCCTGGCTCTCCAGTACTATTAGAAGGGAAGCTAGGGGGCTGAAGAGGTGGCTCAGAGGTTAAAAGCACTGGCTCCTCTTCCAGAGGTCCTGAGTTCAATTCCCAGCAACCACATGGTGGCTTACAACCATCTATATTGAGATCTGGTACACTCTTCTGGACTGCAGGCAGAACACTGTACACATGATAGATAGATAGATAGATAGATAGATAGATAGATAGATAGATAGATAGATAGATAGATAGATCGATCTTAAAAAAAAGAAGGGAAGCTAAATTGCATGGTCTCTGATGAATGGGATGCAAGCCATCGATCAAGAGAAACTTTGTCTAGGAAGGAGTGGAACTTTTTATACATACTCATCATATTCCAGATTAATTGCTGCATAACTTGAGTATGTCATCTGTTAAGATGTTCACAGCAACTACAGGAAGTATGTCTTTTAACTTATTTTGCAAATCAGGCAGTTCTGAAGGTCTGTTATAAGATGAATCATGGTCCCAATGCCCCAAATTCATGTGTTGAAATGAAAAGATCCTGATGGTAATCAGGATCTCAGACCTTAGTGATTCTCAATTTCTCCAATGTTGCGGTCCTTTAATACAGTTCTTTATGTTGTAGTCAATTATATTTTAGAGTCTTTTATGAAGGAATTAAGTTAAAATGAGATAATTATGGTGAGTTCTAGCCCAATCTTACTAGTGATTTTATAGAAAGAAGAAATTTGGACAGAGATACATACACAGAGATGTCCTTGTGATGACGGCAGCTACAAAAACCCATAAAAAAGGTACCAGGACAAACTGGTAATCAGCTCTACTGGTAACCTGGAGCCAGATTTTCAGAATCTACAGTTATGAGAATTTTCTGTTGTTTAAATTAACTATTGTTCTTGATGCTGAAAATGCCTGGGAAGCCCAAAAGATCCAAGGACACAGGGACTGCATGGCAGAACTGAAATTCTGTTTTGTGCTAGAAACCTCATAATTAGCCACTAATATCCTACCACTTCTCAACT